AATTTCCCGGAAAAATAAGTACTTGTACCCAGTAGCCTTAACGCCTGCATAAAACCAGAAATGCGATTCATGCAACTTTGTGTGAAGGTCGGTGAAATCCACTGGCTTTCCATGTGCAATTAAAATTCCACGCCAGTATTTAAAAAAAATGAAGCCGAGCTTTTTCGATTGAAGATGGTCTTCTCCATAAAACCAAGGAAGAACTTATTTTTTTAAACTTTATTGTACCCAAGGACTAACTATTTACATTTTTTAAGTTCTGTTTATGTCCTGGAAGATCAGCAAAGGTTTTCATTTCAGAAATCTACTCATTTATTGTACAGCACATTTTGTGTTGAGTTGACAGACAAAATGAAAACAAAGGCGTGTGTTTGCAGGTGGAAAACAATAAATAAAGGGGTCCATTGGGCAGTATTTGTGGCCAAGGAGATGATTTGACCCTCAGATGGCAGCAGGTTCTTTTCCATCTTGCAGAAAAGTCAGGATTTTTTTTTTTGCACACCAGCACATTTCAGTTTGAACAAAGGTCAACAAAAAAAGCAGCCTGTGCTGAGAAGGCCAAACCTGCTGGGGAACATCTGGGAAGAGAAAAAATCCTTTTGTATTTGAAAACCTTCAATGTCAATCCTATGGCAGAAATGCAGGGAAAAAATGCCACCCAGCACTGAGGAATAATTTTCATTTCTCTCAGCCAATTTTTTTCCTGCAGGCAGATAAGAAAAAAAAATTATTGGATTTTTTTTTCAACTTATTAGGACTTGCTTCCCAGTTCAGATTTGTCTTTGATTTCAGTTCCTTTGAGTGAATTATCTTTGCTTTTCATGAAATTTTGTAGTGAATGAATTTTATTTTGGCAACAGCAGCAAATAAAAATTGGCCAAGTCATTGAATAAGTTTGTCACACAATTTTGGACACAAGAAAAATATCCCAACCTTTCTTCATGAGGGTTCAGATGGCTCTTAGAATGCATATAATCCTTAGTTGTGTGAATTAATTGCATTCATGTTCTATTTGAAAATCACATTTCAAATACTGTAATTCAAAGTGCAATTCAAATGAAGCATACCAATAAATGAGTGGAAAATTATTGAATTAATGAACAGAACACTTTATTTGCCACTTTTCAGCATTCACAAGTCACAACCAAGACTCCCGCATCCAAAACCCCTCCCCACCCAACCCAATTCCCCCCAAAGACATTCAATCACTTCAAAGCAGGAAACAAAGCACAAATTGATGACAAAAGTAAAAGAGAACACACTCCACAAAATAAAACTGGACATCTGACATGCATGCATACACCGACACATTTCCTGACATTGAAAACAAATTAGCAGTACAAGTTTATTTAAAGCACAAGGTCTTCAGTTTGCTTCTGTATGAGGTTTAGTTGAATGCACAATTTAGAGAGAATCTTTGATGAGAAATCATATAAGGCCAACAATTTATCTTGATCCTTTAAGATTTCAGAAAGTGTCTCTAATATAATTTTAACTATTGATGACACCACTGCAATAGTGTGGTTTGATGGAATATTACTGGGAACCTTCTTTGCTCAAAGATAATCTCCATTTCAAAGGTATTGATAAAACTTTCATATCAGATCCCTTTTATACATGTGGAAGTTTAAAGCTTGTTTTATGCTAGGATATTTGGCAGAGATGATTAAATATACTGTAAAACGAATGTTATACCTTTCAGGACAAAAGTGTTCATTAGAGAATCCAAAACACTTTTCGCCATTGAGGATGCCTTCCAGAGGCGCAAGCACGAATTGGCGAGCAAAATCCAAGCTGTGTACAAGGGCAGATTGCAAAGGAGGAAGTATTTGCAGATGAGATCCGCCGTTACAACGATTTCCAAATATTGGAAAAGAGTCCTGGCCAAGAGGGAATTGGCCAAGAGGAAGAAGGCTGTCACTGTCATCAGAGGGTTTGTTCACCATCATTGCTTCAAATGTAATTGCTAAAAAAAAGTATTACTTTTTTCCTTTTAATTCAATCATCAGGTTCATCAAGGGCTTCATCCAAAGGAACAAGCCAATGCAACACCTGGACGATTCCAGCGTGAAGTTTTTGCAAATGGTGAAAGTTTCTTGGCTCATCAGGCTGGCTAAAAATTTGCCTTCAAAGATTTTGCAGCACAAGTGGATGCCTGCCCCTACTTGTTGCCAGGAGGCAAGTTCCCTTATTCTAAAGCTCAGTGTTCCCCAACCTTTTGAAGCCCACAGACACAGACCAGCAGCCAATTTCCTCAACATTTTTTTTGCAGACTGCCTGTTAGTTCCACGAAATTATTACAGACCTGCAGAAAATTTTCAAATACCTGCCGAAGTCCTCCAACCACAAATTTTATGGCAAAAATTAAGTTGAGAAGCAATCAAGCAGTTTTAGCCTCCTGAGTGGGGAAATTGGTGCACACTGGGGATTTGTTTGTAATTCTACACAGTGACCCTGCTGTGCACCTGAAGTGCACCAAAGTTCTTCTGTTGCCCATGCATATCCCCA